AGATTCCTTCAGCTCATGGACAAGGAGTTTCAACAGGACACAACCAGTAGTTTGGTTGCGCCATTACTCTTTCGCACTCCCAGACAACACTTGCCAAACAACCAGAAATATGCGCTCTCCCGCCTCTTCAGTCTGAGACGGATCATGACCCGGAAGCCAGAGATGAAAGCTTATATGGTGGAATTCTTGGACAAAATGATACAGAACGGACACGCTGAGCCGGCCCCACTCCTGGAAACTGACGAAGAATGTTGGTACCTGCCATTCTTTGGAGAGTACCATCCACAGAAACCAGGCCAAATACATGTAGTCTTCAATGCCAGTGCACAGTTTCAAGGTCACTCTCTGAACAAGGCCCTTCTGACAGGACCTGACCTCACAAACAGTCTCCCTGGGGTACTCATCTGCTTTAGAAAAGAAGCCATAGCAATTATGGCCGATATACAGCAGATATTCTATTCCTTCCACGTACAAGAAGAGCACCGTAACTATCTCCGTTTCCTGTGGTTCAGTGATGATCAACACAACCAAAGGATCTCAGAATACCGAATGAGGGTGCATGTGTTTGGCAACGGCTCCTTCCCTGCAATTGCGAACTATGGTCTCCAACGTACTGCTCTTGAGGGAGGAGACAAATACAGAGCAGAAGCTCAGCGGTTTGTAGAACACAACTTCTATGTAGACAATGGCCTGAAATCCATAGCCACCCCAGCAGAGGCCATAGACCTCTTAAAGAATACACAGCAAATGCTAGGGACAGCCAACCTCAAGCTGCATAAGATAGCGTCCAATAGTGAAGAAGTTCTAAAGGCCTTTAATCCCAAGAACCATGCCAAGGGATTGCAAGACCACGATTTCGCTAGCGACACACCCTTCATCCAACGCAGTCTCGGCTTGTGTTGGGACTTGAAGAAAGACCTCTTCACCTTCAAAACCCCAGCCCTAAAGACCGGCTCCATGAGGAGAGGAGTGCTGTCAACAGTTAACAGCCTGTTCGATCCTCTAGGGTTTGCAGTTCCTGTTACTATTCAAGGTAGAATCCTACTGCGCACGCTCTGCCAAAACACCAAAGATTGGGATGAGAGTTGGAGGCAACTCTCTCTGCTGCCTCCGAGATGTTTACCTATATCGCACGTATGTTCCCATCTCACCCTCCACGGTATAACGGAACTACATGTTTTTTCAGACGCCTCAACAAAGGCAGTAGCAGCTGTGCCATTCCTCAAAGTCTATGGCAGGGAGAGCAACTATATGTTCGATTCGTCATGGGAAAGGCGAAACTAGCACCGTAAAAAAGTCATACTGTACCACAGCTAGAACTTTGTGGAGCTGCACTGACAACAGAACTATCAGACACGATAACGAAGATGATAGATCTTCCCTTAGAACCCACCACCTTCTATACAGGATACTGGGTTATATCTACAACGAGAGTAGACACTTCTATGTCTATGTGAACAACAGAGTTGAGTGGATCAGGAGAACTTCTAAACCAGCACAGTGGTGGTATGTTCCAATGGATCAGAACCCTGCAGATCATGCAAAAAGGTCTATTCCTGCATCCCAGTTACCAACTTCTAACTGGCTCAAAGGCCCCAAGTTCTTATGGCGTACAAACACCTTGGAACCAGAAAAACCCAATGGCAACATTTGACCCCTAGTCAAGAAGGTAGAACCGGTTGTCCCTCCAGTCGTCTGCCTAGCAAAGATGTTTCAACGAGAGAAGATAGGCCCCTTGAAACCTGCTTGTTTTGAATGCTTCTCCTGATGGAAACCTCTCGTACTGGGAATAATTGTGCTCGTCTGCACAGTCGTCCGTCTCCTCGGTCATCAGCAAGTCTTCAAGTCATACTTCCCAGACCACTGTACTCATGCTGAGAGACGAATATTGAGAAGTGTGTAACAAGACACACATCTGTCGGAATACGGATGCCTGAGTGCAGAGAAATCCATACCACAATCCAGTCCACTTCTGAGACTGAACCCTTACCTCGACGACCAGGAGGTGCTGTGAGGTCGTCACCTACACAAAGCTGAAATGGACTCACCCAGCAAGTACCCCATCATCCTTCCGGGTAACCATCATGTAACGAGGCTGTTAGTACACCACCACCATGAACTAATCCATCATCAAGGCCGCCACTTCACAGAAGGTGCCCTCAGAGTGAGTGGACTCTGGATCGTAGGCACCAAAAGATGTATTACAACTGTTCTGCAGTCTTGCTTCCATTGTCGCAAGCAACGAAGCCAGACTCTACACCAGATGATGGCTGACCTACCCAAGCACCTGAGCTCCAACCCACTGTTCACCAATGTAGGCCTCGATGTATTTGGCCCTTGGTCTGTGTATACACGGACCAGGGATGGTCAAGCTAACAGCAAACTATGGGCAGTACTCTTCACATGCCTCAGTATTCGAGCAGTCCATATTGAAGTCATCGAATCTATAGACACCTCTTGCTTCATCAACGCCCTGAGAAGGTTTCAAGCCCACAGAGGCCCAGTCAAGGTATTCAGATCTGACTGTGGAACCAACTTTGTAGGCGCTTGTAAAGAACTACAAATTGAAGATGGCATTCACCCTGACTCGCCACTCGATGGCAACCTTAAAGCTAACAAATGCACATGGATATTTAATCCTCCCCACGCATCTCACATGGGAGGAGCATGGGAACTCATGATTGGAATAGCTCGTTGGATCCTTGATTTGATGCTGGCAAAAGCACCTAAACTGACACATGAGACTCTATCTACCTTTATGGCAGAAGTTGTGGCCACTATAAATGGTCTACCTTTAGTTCCAGTCTCTTCGGATCCTGAGAATCCGACCATTCTCACTCCAGCTGCCTTGCTAACTCAAAAGATGGGTGATTGGCCCACGCCGTTAGGGAACTTTTGATTCTAAGGACTTGTACAAACAATAATGGAGAAAGTTCAACAGCTTGCCAACACTTTTGGAACCGTTGAAAGCAAGAGTACCTGTCTACCCTACAAGATCGCCATAAATGGAAGACCAAAGAATCAACCTCATCCTTGCTGAATGACAAGGATGTGCATCGCAACATGTGGCCTATCTGCAAAGTCAATGTCCTGATGGTGAGGTCACTAGATTCCTCCTGCGACCATCAGACCTTCACCAAGAAGCTCTACACCAGACCGGTCACCCACCTTGTGCTACTGCTGAGAACCTCAAGCTTTGCATGCTTTGCTTTGTTTGATGCTTTATTAATGTCTATTATTTTTCTTAGTTATCAAGCTGTTTATCTTAGTTATATAGTTAACTGCTATTCAGTTAGTATTACTGTTTACTGCTTATCTTAGTTTATAGGTAATTTTTTTCCCCTCTTCTTTTAATAGTGAAATTTACAATTCCAGGCGGGGAGTGTGCTGTCCAGCCAGTGTATGGGAATTGGATAGTTAGGTAGCAATTGTGAGCTGTTCCCTTAAGGGAATGCATCATGGTAAATGTAGTTAAGGTATCCTGGGAAATGTAGTCCATGTCACATGACCACATCTGTAATCCACTAAACTGACTGATGGGTTGGGGGAGTTTTCCTCACTCTTGGCTGAACTCATGGACTCATGGTAACTGTTCTACTTCTATCATTACAAGATGGAAGAAAAAGGATAGAAGATAAACATCTTTTTACCTACAAGACAGATATGCAAAGGATTAGTCATTAAAGAAGCACTTCATTACAAATGTGAGTTATAAGGATACCTGATGAACCAATAAAAGTACTTTGTTATGGATGTTTTGCGGAGTTTATCTATCTGCATCTGTACAGGATGCAGAATACTTTGTTTTTGTTGAAAGGCAGAAAAACCTTTCATTTTCAAAATGGGGATGTTTCCTGATTTTCTCAGAGTAGTCACTCTAGAAACTGTCAAAGGTATTTATGGTATATAAACCTGGCCAGCATGTATTTTATAGAATAGATTGCCTAGGTTTGTTCTACACATCTAGTGATTGGATCCTCCAGGCCTTGAAAGATCAGTATTCTCAGGGTTTTTTGCAGACATTTTTCTCAGAGCCCCAGCTTAACAGAAACCCATTTATTCGTAAAGGCAACTTATTAGTTTATTTATTTATTTGATTTGTCAATTGCTTACAAGATAATAGGTATAAGTATAAACATGAATAAGAATACAGGAAATAGGTACAAATAAATGGGGACAATAGGACAGGGACGGTAGGCACGATTGTACACTTATGCACACCCGTTACAGACCTCTTAGGAATGGGGTGAAGTCAATAGTTTAAAGTTAAAGGAATGGGGGGTTAGAGGAAGTAACAACAGAGTCAGGTAGTGCATTCCAGGCATTGACCACTCTGTTGCTTGAAGTCGTACTTTCTGCAATCAAGTTTGGAGCGATTAACATTGAGTTTATATCTGTTGTGTGCTCTTGTATCGTTGCAGTTGAAGCTTAAGTAATCATTGATTGGTAGGACATTGTAGCAGATAATTTTGTGCACTATACTTAAGTTCAATCATAGGTGATGTAGTTCAAGGTTGTCCAAACCCAAAATCTGAAGCCTGGCGATATAGGGTATTCTGTCGTGAGCACAGTACTCTTCTGTGAAATACTTCTGGACTTGCTCAATTGTGTTAATGTCCAATATATAGTGTGGGATTCCAGACAGATGAGCTGTATTCGACTATTTGTCTAGCAAAGGTTTTGTATGCCCTAGTTACCAATTGTATATTTCCGGAGAAGTTTCGTAAAATTAGATTAACAACTCTTAATGACTTTTGTTATAGTGAGTTCTGGGATTTATACGTATTTAGAATATCAGAAATCAGGACAATTGCGATCTCATGTTAAAAGGCATCAATGAATATAATATGTCTGCCGACTGAATACTAAACAGGCGTGTAAAAAGGCGTGCTAAATTGTATGCACACTTCTATGCAAGTTCAAAAAACACCAAGGACCCTTCATTTCAGGCGCGCCATTAATGACCCGGGTTAAGTCTACACCCCACCCCCATTAAATACCTGATTGTATCTCTGGTAACCTCCCGAAGGCGGCTGCTTGAAGGGCTGCTGCTGGTAAAATGCTTCTCCGGGGGACCTGCCGCCATTGTAGCCCAGATGCCTGGGATTGGCATTGTGGGGCCTATGTGGTGTGAGCGCCGCCGCCGAGCCTCCAAACCAGCTTCCACTATCCCCGCACATTTGGAAGCGGGGAGAGCGAGGAGTAATGTCGTACGGCCGCGAGCGGGATCCATAAGGCGACATGTGGCGAGGGCTTCGGTAACCCTGTGGAGAGGCTCCTTCCGAGGCAGGGCTCAGAAACCCGGAGACACTCGAAGACGGCGGGGTGGGAGACCGAAATCTCTGCCGATACATGGCCGTCTCGGGGATGCCCCTACAGCAACCGCCGATTTCCTTCGCCTAGTCCGGAGGAGGAGGAGTTCCGGGTCGATTCGATTGCAGCCCTCTTTCGAAATTGCTCCGCCGAGCGTCTTCCGTTTCGCTCTGCAAGCTTGACGTCTCTTCGGTGTGAATTAGAAATCGAGATCTTTGACTTGCCTTTTCTTAACGACATTGCAATATGTAGGATGCATTAGTCGAATCTAGATTTGTTTACACTTATACAATTAAAATTTTCAGTACGGGCGTGCGGTAGAAATCTACAGTTTCAATATAATTGAATACAATTGATATATTTATTAATTTATATTAATTTATATTGGTTTCTCCTTTAACGTGTATGTTGGAATTGTATGTTGACCTTTTGCTACGTTTCCAAGTAGTATCTCAATTTTTTCTGGGTACGGAATTTCTCTTGGTACGGAATTTCTCTTGAAATCGCGCAATATTTGGACCTCGCAATCTACGTATTCGACTTTGGAATGAAAGTGTGACTGATTTTGGAGGGATTAGTTTCCGACCTGTGTGTACTTAGGCTGCGAGGCTAAACTGTAGTAAGAGCCTTCTTTCACATTTTGCTGGTCGATCAGTCTGGAAGGGGACTAAAAGAGGGCGGCAAAACTACAACGTTATTTTTCTGTATTTCTTTTTGTTTCCTTCTAAGGTCCCTTTTATGGTTCGCCGTTGGTGATGGGTGTTAGGAACGAAGTGTTCCCGGTTACGGGGAAACTTGGGAGAAACAATATCTGCTTTGGCATGCAGTTGCCTCAAGAAAAAAAGGATTTTTCCTCAGGCTTGCAGGCTATTCTATCCTAAATGTACCTAAAACGGATAGATCTTCAAAAGCGTTAAAACAAGGAGAGTCGGGAACCATTTATTGGTACACACAGTGGTGTATTAACCATTAAGCAGACTAAGCATGTGCTTTTAGGCACCAGGCCCAAAGGGGGCACCACAAAATTAAGAAAGAAAAACCAATGAAGATTTGTAAAAAATCTTTAATGTACGAAGGAGTGGGGCACCAAGATTTGTCAGTGTTTAGGGAATCAGGGAGTCTTAATACGCCACTGATTACACAACTTCCAAGACATAGTTTCAAAGCTCGCGCTTGGGTCCTTTCACTGGCCATTCCTCCCGTCCCGCCCCCCGGGACTGAGCTGAAGTTGAAACAAGATACTCACCACGTCTGCGAAGTGGACGCCTCTGAAGACTTGGTACAAGAGTCCAAAGTTTTTGAGAGTCCTGATATCAGTCCTCCCGTAACTTCGCTGGTCGGTCAATGTCAGCTGCTGGCATGTTGGGGCCTACGATAGGAAGAAGCAGTCGCGCCATAGATCATCTGAGGAAAGCCCTATCCTCGCCGCTGGTTAGCGGTGTCGGCTCCTTTCTCAGTCCCCTGGGCTTCCCTCAACTGTTGCGACTTCCCTCCTGCCCTGGCAGTTTCAGGGGGCTGCAGCAGGGAAACTGCCCCCATCCAGGTATTTTTAACATTCTTCATTCAGTGAAGGCATTGCGGAAGATTGTGATACTTTATAAGGCGCTGTATACCGCAGCAAAGAAGAGCTTAGAGAAAAGCGTTCAGGAGAAACTCCATTTCGGAACCTTTCATTTGCAACAGAATATAATAAATTGAAGCGATTCAGGAAGAAAATCTTAGCCTTGTGGTCGCTGGGGCCGAAACAACTCGATGGCGCATAATTAATCAAATTCAAACAAGATCATAATTGTTGCAAATTTGGGAGAAGTTCAGCAAATCTTCATTTCATTTTGGAAATGAAAAAATTTGGAAACCAAAATTTCCAAAGAGTGTTTCGGGGCTAGTCCTCTGTCAGCAAAAGATAGGATTTTTAGAAAAAAAAGTTAGGGTTATCTTTGCTTACTTTTTGTAGGTTATCACCTCTGAAATGTGTGCTGAGTCACTGGACATATTGAATACAAAATAATGCTTACCGTTGCTACCTAAAAATAATCTGCTTTAGCTGGAGAATTATTTCTAATTAAATTACAGTGTTTTTACAGATTACATTAAATACATAGAATGGCTTAAATATTCATTGCAAAAAAATAATTAAATTATTAACACAGGTTTATGTCCAGTTAAGTCACAACAGATAGTTAGTCTTGTTTGGTCTGAAAAAGCTAAGCAAATAATTGGCTATACAGTATTCGGCTAGAAGACTGTTAATGAGATCCTAATGTTGTATACTAGTCTGAGAAATTGGAGAAAAACATCTGAAAATAAGGCAATGGCAAACACTTTTGAAAGATGTGTCCATGGACTTAAGTGACTTTGAAGTCATCAGGAGCTGATTTTGGCTTGTGGAAATCTTTACTGCAGTGGGCTTTGTAATAGAGATTGACATTTTCAACATAATTTGTTTATTAATTTTATTATTTTATTAATTTTTATTCCCACTTTTTTCTCTAGGAATTTAAGCAGGTGACCCATTTGATCTCTCTCCTAAACAACTGAGGCTGGGGCTTCTCATGGAGACAGCAGAGAATGTTTGATAATGGATTTAAGTGGTTAACAATGCTGCAATTAATCTGATTCCTTTTTCATTAATGAGAAATTTGCCTTATTGAGTTAGAAAATTGATTTATCTAAACCGGTATTTTAGCAAAATCAGAAAAATTGTGCAAGTCCTATGGCAGAAGTCTTTACTAGGTCTCCTACATACTATTCTTTTAATACAAAACTACATAATCTAAGGCCTACTGGTTTCATGTAGCCCCGAGAAGAGGTGTTTCCATGGAGTTCCTTCAAGAGTTTCACTGAATTGAGATTTTCTAAATGAAGCAGAGACTTACAAAATACAGGTAGAATACCCATAGCAGTAATATTTAACTATAATTACATTTAAATAAAAAACAAATAAAACTATATTTGATTTTACTTTCCCCAGTCAATTGTTTGCCATGCTCGTGCTCCCTTAGATATATGTCCAAGTATGAAACACAAAAGCTGTGTATCTCTTTGCTTCAGAAGAGTTTGCTGGTTATATTTTAACATAGATCCAAATCTAAGCACTCTTCTACAAGGTCCATTCTCCCAATCTCCAATATAAGGCTAGACCACTTGCCATTCTGGAAAAGCAGGAATTGATGACATTTTTGTACATCTTGCCCTTTTGCTGCTAGAAAGACAATCTCTGAAATTATATTGCTCTACTTGAACAGTAGTGTTTCATTCTTTCCACTGGCATAAACGGGGCAGTCTGGTCCTCTGTCTTGTACAAATGATTCTAATTCCCACCTTCACCCCCATCCCTCTTCTTTGTTCTGAGTAACTATTTTATACTGAGCTGTCAGTCTGCTTGCCATGAATAGAATAGAATAGAATAACAGAGTTGGAAGGGACCTTGGAGATCTCCAAGGCCAACCCCCCGCTTAGGCAGGAAATCCCATACCACTTCAGACAAATGGTTGTCCAACATCATTTTAAAAACTTCCATGTTGGAGCATTAACAACTTCTGGAGGCAAGTTGTTCCATTGATTAATTGTTCTGTCAGGAAATTTCTCCTTAGTTCTAAGTTGCTTCTCTCCTTGATTAGTTTCCACCCATTGCTTCTTGTCCTGCCCTCAGGTGTTTTGGAGAATAGCTTGATTCCCTCTTCTGTATCGCAGTCCCTGAGATATTGCAACACTGCTATCATGTCTCCCTTAGTCCTTCGTTTCATTAAACTAGACATACACACTTCCTGCAAATCGTTCTTCATATGTTTTAGCCTCCAGTCCCTTAATCCAGGGGTAGGAATCAAATTTTTTAACAACCAGTTCTGTGGGTGTGGCTTAGTTGGTGGGCAGAGCTTGGTGGTCATATGACTGGCTGGATGTGGCTAACTCTATCACTCATCTCATCTCCTCGCCTGGCCCCTCATGACTGTGGGGATGCTGCAACAGTCATAAGTGTGAAAAAGTGTCATAAGTCACTTTTTTCAGTGCCATTGTAACTTTGAATGGTCACTCCACACAAGCAAAGTACCAGCAAAGGAGGAAAAAAAACTCCAGAGAAGTTCCAGAGACAGGAAGTCTAGTCCTGCCAAGAATGTAATAAGGGTTAACAGAGAGGCAATTTCTGTAAGCAACACCAGAAAGTTTCCTTCCTGCCTTTTTTACAGGATTAGGCCAGTAATTTCTTCTAACAACCAGTTCTATGAACTGTTTAGAATGTTAACAACTGGTTCTAGCAAATAGGTGCAAACCTGTAGAATCCCACCCCTGCCTTAATCATCTTTGTTGCTCTTCTCTGCACTCTTTCTAGAATCTCAACATCTTTTTTACATCATGGCGACCAAAACTGAATGCAGTATTCCAAGTATGGCTTTATCAAGACATTATAAAGTGGTATTAACACTTCATGTGATCTTGATTCTATCCCTCTGTTTATGCAGCTTAGGACTGTGTTGGCTTTTTTGGCAGCTACTGCACACTGCTGGCTCATATGAAAAGCTGGATCTTAAAAAAAAATGCCTGGTTTCTTGAAATGCTGGCTATTTCTTTGAGTATTTTATTCTTTTAAGAAGTATAGTGGAACTTTGAAATATCAACTTTCTTTTGACTTAAGCTGATGAAATCAACAAGAGCTATGTCAAGTTTCTCCTTTCTTTCTAGTGACCTGAAAAACTGCTGTCTTTTTTTAAACCAGTCCTCCAAAGACCTGTCCCCCTGAAAGTGAAAGGAATTAGCACTTGATTTTTTGTCATATGGGAGATGGGCAAAATTCAGAAAAGTCCATCACATGTCTTCTCTGTTAACCATGGTCCAGGCACAATAATTTGCCATTATTAAGGCCCAAGTAAAGGAAAAGGTTGCAACCCAAAAAGAATTTCTTCAGTTTGTTTCATTTCTAGCACAATTCAAGCAGCTAAAAACAGCAGGGTGGAAAAGCTGCAAAGCTAATAAAACTATAAAATCAAAATTTCCCCTTTCATATTTTTTCTCTTGGCATTGTTAATTCAAAGCTTTTTCCAAAAAAAGTTTTTCTTTTTTCTTTTCCTTCAGTTGAAAGAGTGGTAAGATGCCTGGAAAATATCTTTCACTTTTTAAAA